GTCTAGCTTTGTTTACAGGTGACCACTACTTGTACTATCTGGGTGATATAACCTTACAGGGCTACTGCAAACTCTCTTTCCCCTGTTTGTAAAATAAACCCTATGATGGTTGTTCTTGGAGTCTGAGGTCTCTTGCAACAGTGTGCAGAGGTGAGAGTGGCTTTTGGCGGCTCTCTTGTCTCAGAGTCTGGGCAGATGCCATGCAGCCTACCCTGGCATCCATTTCTCCTGCCCCTACCATGCCTACTTCATAACCAATATCAAAAGATAACTGTCTGGGGACATGGACAAGAAGTACTTACTCATGGTCATGGGGGAGTTGGGGGCTGACCCTTATTCTCTATGGTGAGAAGTCAAGAAATAATGTATATGAGTGATAAATCAAGACATATTGATTTGTCATATTTAGAAATGTGGTAGTAAATACCAAAAAAAAAAAAAAACAGTTGAAAATGAGCTGCAAGGGGAAGTTTGTAGGCAGGGCAAAATTAGCAATGGATTTTAATTTTAGAACAAATGTCTTAGGACATTTGACTTTAAATTACATGCATGAAAATTTTGATAAAAACAAATCTAAAAAAGAAAACCTGTTTTTAAAACTTTATAAAGGCCAAGCATTAATATTTATTTTCTTTTAAAGCACACTCTGGGGTCACAAAGGTAAGCAACAGGTGAGAGAATGTTAAAAGAGATAAGACCCCTTACAACATCTTCAATAGGATGAATATATTGAAAATGTAATGGAATGAATAGACTGAACAATGAAGAGAGTTTGAATTGCTCCTAAACTCTGCACTGAAGTTGTTCTCAATTACTACTCATGTTATGCAAATCATGAACTATAAATTTTGAAGATTATACCTCAGACTTTTATAAATCATCTCTCATCTAGGCAGGGCACTTAAAATATTACTATAGGTTAGAAGACAAAGGAGAAACAAAATCTGAATTCACCTGCCACCTTCTCCAGCTTCTGCAACGGCTTCCTTTGCAAGTCGAAGAGCGGTTTCCTGACTGTACCAGAACTGGCTCAGCTGCTGTTGACATAGGAATGGGCCAAGGTTATTTGAGAACTGTCATCAATTGTATTAATGTATGCCTAATATGCCTAATATGCCTAATGTGCATATATTTAAAATTTTTTCTTTTAAAAAATAATTTTTCATCTAAAGTATTTTATATTTTTAAAAAAGATTTATTTTATTTATGCATACAAAACCTGGGGTGTAGGCCAGAATTATGGGGGTCAGGGGGTGAGGGGAGTCACCAGAAACAGAGTGTGAAACAGAACAGGCAGATTGACTATAATACACTGCTGAGGGGAGCAACCAGAGATGACCCTGTGGGTCACCTCCCTGACTGGGACCAAACTCATCCTGCAGTGGCTGCAGATAGCTTGATAGTGCTATGTTTAACACCTTGTGCCATCAGGGAGGCCCCTCAAAAGGATTTAAATTGATCAAGGGTCCTCACTAATGGAATCCAGAAATTGCATATCAATGGCTGCTGACATGACAAAGGAGACAGCCAGTTACTATTTCTCTGCATGGAAGAACACAGTCCCAACTTTTACATGTGAATCTCTTGACTCAACTACCAATTAGCAAAATTTCAAACACAGAGAATAGAAGAATGTGTTAAATGATACCCAAATATAAGGGACTAAAGAACATGTTGAAAGACACCATAGGTCTATCTGTGTGCTTTGTGCATGACCTATTGGTTTTACCATATTTTTCCTATTTTTTTTTTCATTTTATACACACACACACACACATTTTTTACATTATTTTTTAAAAAGATTTGTTTGTTTATGCACACAGAACTGGGGTGCAGGCTAGAGGTGCAGTGGGGTGAGAGGATTCATCAGAGACAGAGTAGGGAGTAGATCGACTGAAATACACTGCTGAGGGGAGCAGCAGGCAGGTCAGGAGAGGTCTGCTGAGCTGTGTGTGTCACCTCCCTGGCCAGGGATGAAACATGTGCTGCAGTGATTGCGACAGCTTCATAGTGCTGTGCTTTAACCTGTTGCGCCACCAGGGAGAGTCCATATTTTATATTATTCTTCCTTTTTGTACAGTGCTTGATTTCTCCTCTCAGGTATAGTCCTTGTGAAATTTCCACCATTAATGCACCCATGCACCATCACCGAGTCCCTTGTGTTCTTCCCTCTCGTTTTGATCGCCAAACCTTTTTAAAAAAATAATATTTTTACTGAAGTAACAATGCAGTAGGACATTCTACAGATTTTAGGGGTTTTGTTAGTCAAACCATATGTATTATTAGTAGTTGTTAGTCAAATCATATAGATTATACTGATGTTCACCACAAAACTTAATTCCACCTTCAACACACATTTGATCCCTTCAGGATTATGTTAGGTAAAATAAGCCAGGAGAAAGCTAAATATCACATGGTGTCAATTATATATGGAATATAGAGAAACCAAACAAAAGATAAGAGAAAGACAAACTTTAAAATCAACCCTTGAAAGCTGATCATAGACCTGAGACACCCAGGAGGGGAAGAAATGAGAATAAGCAGAGGGGCAGCAGGAGAGCACAACGGCTGTAATGGGCTTTGAGTGCTTGGGTGGCGGGAGAGCTGGTGGCCACACCTGAGAGGAGAAATCAGACACTGTCAAACAATCAGGCACTTCATTACAAATGAATTAAAGCATTGAGTCCCAGGGCAAGTTAGGGTTAATTAGGCAGCTTCAGGGACAGTACAGGGAGAGTTAAAGAGGCTTCTGAGATAAGGCCAGTAAATTTGGGAGGGTTAAAGAGGGCAGGGAATTTTAGGAGCCCTTGGACAATGGAGGTTAAAAAGAGAAACTCTAAGATAAGATCTGGGAAAATGGGCACATCTGCCCAGAGGAGTAGAGCCACTAGGAGGAGGAGCCAATCACAAAATAGGACGATGAGAATTTAGAATAAAGAAAACAGGACTTAAACACCCCCTAGACCCTGGCCCATAATGGGTCTTCTGCCCTCCTCAGCATTGCTGCCTTGGAGACTTTGCTTTTTTTTTTTCTGTCTAAATAAACTTTACTTTCTTGAATAAAGTTTGCTTCTTTCTGCTTATTTATCTAAAAATTTGGGGAGTTCCTTTTCACCACTTTGTGGAACAAGAATCTGTGGTGGCTCAAGGGCTAAATTAACCACATACACCAGCTTCAGCTCCTTCCTTGTGCATGCTGGCGGAAAAACAAAAACAATTTACCACTTTAATTACATTTACCCACCCTTTGTCCCCTTCCCTCCTGGTAACCACTAATTAGTCTTACAGTCTAAATGTTTATTTTTGTTTTATTTACTATAATTATTTGCTTCTTTATGTAACTCCATGATTGAAGTCATCCTGTGTTTGTCTTTCTGTGCCTGACTTATTTTACTAAGCATAATACACTCCAGGTCCATCCATATTGTTGCAAATGGCAGGGTTTAATACCTTTTTTTTTTTTTAAGATTTATTTATTTGTGCATATGGAACACGCCAAGGGTACAAGCCAGAGGTGCAGGGGCAGTGAGAGGATTCCCCAGTGTAATTTAGACAAATTTCACTGCTGAGGGGAGCAGCAGGCGGGTCAGGAGAGGTCTGCCGCACTAGGTAGGTCAGGTACGGGGTGGGGATTGAACCCATGCTGAAGTGCCTTTAGCTTCTTAGTGCTGTGCTTTAACCTGCTGCGCCACCAGGGAGGGCCCTTGATACCTTTTTAATAGCTGAAGAGTATTCCGCTGGCGTATATGTGTGTATATATATATATACCACATCATATTTATCCAATCATTTATTGTGGGAAACTTAGGCAGTTTCCAGTTCCTGGCTAATAAACATGGAGTACATATATATCTTTGAATTCACATGTTTGGTATCCCAGATATAAGATACTGAAATTGTAGGGAATGCCCATCTTTTAAGATTTTTGAGAAATCTCCTTACTGCTTTCCATAATGGCATTGTTTTTACCTTTTGAATAATCCCTTAATTATTTGTTTTCCTCTTAGGTTTTTTTTTTCATCTTTCAATTCCTATTCATGCTGATTGATGATTTTCTTTAAGTTTCTAGTGCTCATATTTATAAATTAAAGATGATTTTAAAGGAAAGTGAAATCCCTTTGGGGGAGTGGGTCCATTTCTCTAATAGGCCTCTGCCCTGTTAGAGATGGGATGAGCCAGTGTGCACTGCCAGCTTGTAAATCCAGATTTTGCAATGTTTCTAAAGAAAGAAACATGCCCTGGGATGTGTGCATCCATGTCTCTATCACATCCAGATGTCACTGTGTGACCACTCTCAGGCTCTGACTCCGTCTGCTGGGGAAGCACTGAGGGCAGAGCCGCACAGAGAGGCTTCTGCTTCAGTGGATTTGGGCAGTGGCACAGTTTTCTGTTAGTGAACGCGACTTGCCCTCTCTCTCAGCCAGGTACTGTCACAGTGGTGTGTCTTTACTCTCCTCAGAGCAGGAGAGTAAAATAAAAATCTCATTGTTAATCAAGGTGTTAAGTGAACATGCCTTTAAACATCAAAAGTACCACTTATAGGACTAATATAGGGGAACCAAATTAGAAATCAGGGAAAAAATAGTAACAGCAAAAAAGTGAACAGGCAACCAGAAATCAGAGCTATTCTGCAGGGAAAGAGGGGAGGGGCCAGAGCAGGGGAGGGAAGAGCACAAGTAACTACAGTGATGATGTACAGTGAATTGTTGGTGGGAATGGTATGGGGCCTACACCTGAGAGGAGCAAGCAAACTACAAAAATGAATGGTGATGTAAAATTTTAAAAAATATATAAAATCTGTAAGTGGCATTAAAAAAAGTCAAAAGCACCAGTAGGCTAACAGAGAAAAACAACAGTCCCTGCTTATATCTCACCAACACTGAGCCCTACTCCTCAGAAGCAATTTTCAACTCAACTCTTCCTTTGAAAATTTAGTCCCTTATTTCACAGTTTATTTTTAGATGCATAGTGAGTATATTATGGTAGACAAGAGGTTTGCTCTTTATATATCCCTCTCCCTGCCTCCCTCACTCTCCCAATACAGCTGTTTTAGTTTATATCTATTGTCAGTGTTCACTGCTGAGCCAAGTTGTACACTATGATCACACTTCCTTCAATATCCTATGTTTCATTTTTCCCAGAGTTAATTTTAAATGCACTGTTTTACTATTGGTTTCTTTGAACCTATCCCTAACATTTGTTTGCCATTTCTGTGAAGTGGTACATGGGAGGTAAATGCTGTGTCATTTTTTTGCCATGTCTAAAATTCTTTTATTTTATCCTCACATTTGATTGACGGCTCAGCTGAGTATAGAATCCTGTACTGAAAACACTCCAAAATCAAAGTTACTGCTTCACTCCCTTCCATCCCAAGTTTCTAATAAATATACTGAGAAGTGCAATGTGACTGAGAGTCCTGAGACATTGTAGGGGATCTGTTTTTCCTCTGCAAGATTCTAGAATCTTCTTTGTTACCTGTATTCAGAATTCTCACAATTATCATAACTATGTATTCATGGAAGTCTCTGGTTCTGAGAAATTTTCTAATATTAGTCTTTGAATATTTCCTTCCATCTTTGTTTTTGATTTTTCTAGAACTCCAAGTAGTTGAATTCTGAGCTTCCTGGATTTCTCCTTTAGCTTTATTATTCCTATACTTCATGATATTATCATCTTCTTAATTTCCTGTCTGATTCCCTCAATGCTATAAATAATAACAATAAAGAAAGACAACATAAATTATCAAAGTTAAAAGTATAGTTAATTCTAATTACAGTGACTAGAACTAAGTAATTTTTATTTGAGTAATCTGGTTTCTCTTCAGATAGTATAAATCCTTTGCCTTCTAGTTTTTAAAAAATAATTTACATATTTTCTATAACTATCATAGATTACTTTTGGAATCAGAAAAAAAGTACAAAGTATGGCCCTCCCTGGTGGTGCAGCAGGTTAAAGCACAGCATAAAGAAGCTAAAGTCACTTCAGCATTTCGATCCTCCCTGGGAATTGATCCACATGGCCTGGCAGACCTCTCCTGACCCGCCCGCGGCCCCTCAGCAGTGTACTTCATCAGTCGGCCTGTTCTCCCTGCTTTGTCTTTGGTGAATCTGCTCACCTGCACCTCTGGCTTCTTTAAAAATTTATTTATTTTTGTGTACAGAACTGGGGTACAGGCCAGCGGTGCAGGAGTGGTGAGAGGATTCACCAGAGACAGCAGGGAGAACAGGCCAACTGATGAAGTACACTGCTGAAGGGTGGTGGGCGGGTCAGGAGAGGTCTGCCCGGTCATGTGGGTCACCTCCAGGCGGGGGATGAACTCATGCTGAAGTGGCTTTAGTTCCTTAGTGTCTTGTTTTAACCCGCTGCACCACCAGAAAGGGCCCATTAAAATCTTTTTTTTCAAAAAAGTATAAAGTATTTTAAAAATTAAGCAGAAAGAGAAAAGATCATTCAAGATATTTCTGATATTTACTACAGAAATATTAAAGGTTAAAAAAAGCATAAGGAAGAGAAATTGTGAGTAAATGGAAAGAAACAATGATCACAGTTTTAGATAGTAAAAAAGATGATTTTATATAACTTAAGAGATCCAAACTATACGCAAAATTTAAAAGACTTTAAAAATTAAAGATAAACTACAAAGGCTTCCTGCCAGTTGCAAAATGATGATGAGAGAGATATTCAAGCCTCATCTATTTCTCATCTATCTCCTTGAAACCATCTAAATATAGGTTCTGCCTTAAGAGTTACCCTCAATTCGTTTTCCCCTTTTCTTAATTCCCAATTTTATTTTGATTATAAAAGTAGAACTAAAAGTTAGTATGCACCAGAAAACAGTCTTCTTAAAAACTCTTTCATAATTTTTCACAGTATGTTATAGACACATGATAGATTTTTCTCTTTCCACCAGGTTTGCTGTGTTACATGAAAGGTAATCGACTGCATTTACATACACAAGAAGGAAGCATAAATTGCTTCTGAAAGGTTCTCTGTTCTGATCACTAATTTGAGAGTGAAACCAGGAAAATCCTGCCATTTTAAAGTACCTGTGGACCTTTTTTTGGTCTTTGCTCCCATTCCCAAGTGGTTAGATAAATTTGGACCTTAGGTGAGATAACAGAAACTGGATTCAGATGCCGAGCTTGTCCCATATCAGCACTTCCTGAGACTGGTGGAAAGGCCTCGACTTACCCAATTCTCTTCTATGACTCCAATGTTGTATTTCTCATCCCCATATGTGTGTGTGTGTTGCTTCTGCTCGGCATAAAATTCCTGGAGAGCTGCAAGGGTATGGGCAGAAAGCTGGGGTACATCATCATCTTCAAAGTCACTCATTTCATAAGTTGCCTATGACCTGCCAATAAATAAATAAAAAGTGCCATGGGTTTTCCCTGTTTCTATCAAATAATTACAGTTTATCCCAGAGCAATGATCCCAACTGGAGGTGAATTTATAAGGGAACTATTCATATTTAAATGAGATCAAATAGCTAGAAAGGTCTATTGAACTCCAATTCAACAAATGCAGACTTTTCCTTTAAATACAGTTTTTACAAGTGAGATTTTCAAATTTTTATGATTCCTTACAGAACAAAAATTTAACCACAAATATCTAAAACATTTTGCTTTCTTCTGATATCCCTGAGGCCAGCTGCAGACTTTCACAGTAAAGTCTCTGAATCAGAGATCTTTTTATGCATGAGTATCACTTAAATGTTTGGGTGGTTTAAGGCCATTGGGTATTAAAGACAGAACAGTAAAGGATTTATGAAGGAGAGGTATACAAAGATTAAAAATAAAATCAAAGGGAAAGCAAGGAAAAAAGGAAGAAAAGTAAAACAGAAGGGAGAAAAGAAGGTGTTTTGTGATGGCCAGAAACAGTTACTGCTTATGGTCCACCTGGAGTTGGTGACACTGGACAGTTAAGGGGTTGAGACCAACATTTAACAAGTGATGTTTTGTGAGTGATTCTATGTTCAGTCTTGTAAGACACTGCCAAGCCTTTGTTCAGAGTGGCTGTTCCATTTTACATTCCCATCAACAATGATAACGTTTATTTGTATCTCCTCTAACTTAGTACTCACTATTTTTGCAGTTTCAATTTTGTGTTGTGCTATCTCATGAGAGTTTTAATTTGCGTTCTTGAACACCTATGATGCAGAACTCTTTCTTGGATGCATATTTGCCATCTGTTATGTACCTTGTTGAAATATTTGCTCATGTTTATTTTTGTTATAGTCTAAGTAGGTCATTTGTTTTTTACTCTGGAATTTTGAGAGAACCTTAGGTAATTTCAGTATATTCTAGATACGATACAGATCTTCTGTCAAATAAATAGCTTGCAAATACTTTCTGCCCGTGGGTAGTATGTACATTTTTCCCTTGTCTTTTGCAGAGCAAAAGTATTCAATTTTAGTGAAATAAAGTATATCAGTGTTTTCTAGATCTTGCTCTTGATGCCCTGCCCAATAGAGATTTGCCAATCACTAAGATCCTGGGTAAAAATTCTACCAAAAGTTTTATAGCCTTACTTTTCAATCTAGGATCCATTTAGAAAAAGTTGAGTTCTAGGTCAGATTCTTTTTGAGGGGAGTAGTTGTGTGGATGTTCAATTGCTCCAAGGCCATTTGTTGAAAAGGGTATTTTAAAAACTGCATTGTTTTTTAACTGCATTTTTAACTTTGTCAAAAGAACCTGGATATATTGTGCAGATCTGGGTTCTCATTTCATTCTAATTCACCAACATGTCATCTCAACAAAACCACACTTGGTTTTTTTTTTTAAGATTAATTTTTTATGCATACAGAACTGGGGTACAGGCCAGAGGTGCAGAGTTGGTGAGAGGATTCACCATAGTCAGAGTGGGGAGCAGAACAAGCAGATCAACAAACTACATTGCTAAGGTGGGCAGTGGGTGAGACAGGAGAGGTCTGCTGGTCCTTATGGATCACCCCCAGGGCTGGGATCCAATTCACACTGAAGGGGCCTGCAGGCCGCTTCGCAGTGATGAGCTTTAACCTGCTACCCCACCGTGGAGGGCCCTCTCACTCTCTTTTTTAAGATTTATTTATGAACTTGGGTACAGGCCAGAGGTGCTGAATGTGAGAGGATTCACCAGAGACAGAGTGGGGAGCAGAACAGGCAGACTGATAAAGAACACTGCTGAGAGGAGCAGCGAGGTCTGCCACACCTTGTGGGTCACGCCCTGGCCGTGGACTGCACTCGTGTTGAAGCGGCTGGGACTACTTTCTGTAGTGCTGTGCTTTAACTTGTTGCCACCAGAGAGAGCCAGCCACACTTACCTTGATTAATGTATCTATATGTTAATTCAAGTAGCAGGATTCTTCCTATGTTGCTCTTCTCATTCAAAATTCATTTGATAGGCTAGTTGCTTTGCTTTTCCAGATAAATTTTATAGGTTTGTCTGTATCTATGAAAAATCTTTCTAGGAATTTCATATGAATTGTGTTAAACTAGTATATCAAATTAGGCAGAATTCACGCTTTACTGAGCTGTCTTCCAACCAATGACACACAAAATTTCTCTTAATTAAGTTATTGTTTCTTTATTTGGTAAATCCTCTCATTTTTTCAGTTTCAGTGTGCTAAGTATTGTTATATAGAAACACAACTGGTTTCCATGTTTTGCTTTACCCTGTAACTATGAGGAATTCACAGTTAATTCTAAAAGTTTCTTTAAGGATTCCATGGGATTTTCAATTTAGAAAATTATGTTTCTATAAATAGCAACTGTTTTGTTTCTTCCTTTCCAATCTGGATGCCATTTATTTCCTTTTTTGCCTTTTGTAGTGAGATTTCCATTGCCATGCTGAGTGAGAGGAAAGAGCAGGTGATGTCTGACTTACCCCGGATCTTAAGGAGAAGAATTGCCTTTGACAGTTAAGTATGATATTGGTCATGTTTTTTGGGTAGATGTCCTTTATGGGGGAAATTCCTTATTTGTGATTATAAAACTGGATCCCCAGGCACAAAGCTCCAGGGAATGGCTGGCTTTTCCATGGCTGCCAAAGGGCAGGCAAGCTGCATCAGACCTTGGCCTAACAGCACCTCCCCACCACCCCAGCGCATGTGAGCAGTAGGTGGGCCCAGGCAGCTGGCAGCAGAAGGTCATGGCACTGGTTTCCCTGCCACACAGCCCCAAGGCATGTAGCACCACTGGGACTTCAGTGCAAGCCCCCCTACCCCACCCTCACCTTCTACAGAGCAAACTATGGCAGCTGAGGCAAATCCCAAGCCCTGTGGCTCCTGGCTTGGGCTGCTGGGAGGAGAGTTGGGCCCTTATTGAGGTGCCACTGGCACTATGGATCCCTGGAGCTGCAGGCAGTGGAGGAGTGGTGGGCCAACATGGTGGGCTCCCAGCAGCACCCACCTGCAGCAGCTGAGTGGAATGGCCGAGTGCTGTTGCAGGCTGCCCTTCTCTACACCCTCCTAGCATTTCCACCTGGCCTGGTGAAGGGGAACCCCTGGCTCCACTGAGATCCACTCCTTGTGGCTCCCTCTGAGCTCACCAGCTGATGAACCTGCCCTGACTTCTGGGCAGGTGAAATGTATCCAGGCACTGGGCTTTTTCACTTTTAAAATTGGCACCTGGATCATTTTGAGCTCAGTTTTATTTATGGCAGTGTTAACTATTCAGATTGAAAATGGAAGCTAGCTAACTTGTGCTAGCCAGTACCAATCAGATACTTAGTACTGAAAATGGTCCTGAGACTTGTAAAGTGGGGGGACCCTGAAAGACAATATATCAGGGCAGGAGCCAGCCTGGATTCATTGTGTTCCTAGTCTCTGAAGATAGAAATCAGCAGGCAGCCTCAAAGAGACACACCAAGCTGTTGAACCTCCATGGGATTCAGCAGATCAGCAGATCTCTGTAGACCTCCCATGACACAAGCTTTGCAACTTCTGTTGACTGACAAATTCCTAATGGAAGGGAAAAGCTCTGAAAAATCAGAATTTCCATTGCTAACTTATGTTACCACCTCCCTTTTTTTTTTTTACAACAGTTTATTTTTACAACATTTTGTACATTTTTTTTTCCATCTCAATTGTAATCCCCACGGGTTTCCCATCACCAAGCCACCCGTGTGCCATCACCATAATCCCATGCACTTCCCTCCCCACCCTCCACCCCCATTTTTGATCCCATTCCCCACTCCACCCCCACAAAATGTCTCTGGTATATGGTTGTTCATTATTTTTGTTATTTTCTCGCCTGGTCCATTATACTCCTGCTATGAGTGAAACCATCCGGTATTTTTCTTTCTTTTTCTGGCTTATCTCACTAAGCATGATCTTTTCCAGCTCCATCCAAGTTGCTGCAAAAGACATGTGTTTTTCTTTTTGGTTGCTGAGTAATATTCCTTTGCATATATGTACGACATCTTTTTTATCCAGTCATCTACTTTTGGGCATTGGGCTGCTTCCATGTTTTTCCAATTGTAAAGAAAGCAGCAATAAACATGGGGGTGCAGGTATCTTTTTCAATCAGTGTTGTTGTGTCTTTTGTTTTGTGTCCCCTAGAAGTGGGGTTGCTGGGTCATAGGGAAGGTCCATGTTTAGCAGTTTGAGGAACCTCCAAACAGTTTTCCATAGTGGTTGTACTAGTTTGCATTCCCACCAGCAGTGCAGGAGAGTTCCTTTTTCTCCACATCCTCACCAACATTTGTTGTTGCTAGTTGTTTGAAGATGTGCCATTACCACCTCCCTTTTTTGTATAATCATATCAAAAATATTCTGAGCAACCATCAGTTTGCAACTGGATTGCCTTAGCTTAATAAATTGGCTACCTGGCCAGGGCAAAGTATGAGCTGAGCTGCCCCAGGGCAGGAAGTTCCTCTGTCAGGAGACAAAAGGCAAGCTCCAGGAGAGATAAGAAACCCCAGAGCATCAAGCCTGGGAAACTTCCTCTGTCTTTTGAAACAAAAAGCAAACCTCTGATAAAACTCCCAGGGCATAAGGACTCATGGACAACTTCCTAACATTATTGACACCAGTTTTGCTTAATGCATTACGATGTGACTTCCTCTTAATTTACTCTTTTCTTAAACAATCTCTAACTACTCACTGCTAGTCTTAATTAACCTTTTCCTAAAACAAACACTAGTTACTCTCTGCTAGCCTTAAGTTAGCCATTAGCTTTTCTTTAGACAATCACTGATGACTGCTAACAATTTATTCCTTCCGCAGGGGCCCTAAATCCTTTGCTAATAGCTCATTCCTTCCCAGACCCCTTATCCTTTGTAGTCATAGTTTAACATCTGTATACATGAAAGCTATCATAAATATGTATAGTCTAGTATGCTATAAAGTGTCAGGAAGAGGATGCATTATTCCCT